TTATGTAAATTATTAATTATAAAATAAACTAAACATTTTAATTTTTTAATAATTATAATAATGACTATAATTATCAATTACATTCACTTTTATGTTTTGTGAAAATAACTGAAATATTTGGAAACTAATTTAATTAGTCCAATTTGACTATTTTTTAGTTATTTATTTACTAATATTTAATTTAATATTTAATTTTCTTTTCAAAATTATTTCCATCATTTCAATTCAATTATTATTTTCTAGAATTTTTAACAAAAATTTTTTAAAATTACTTAATAAATAATTAATAATAATTAATTAATTAATAATAATTAATTAATTAATAATAATTAATTAATTAATAATAATTAATTAATTAATAATAATTAATTAATTAATAATAATTAATAATTAATTAATTAAATTTTTTAACAAAAATTCTTCTTTAATTCAAAGAATTTTAATAATTTTTTAAATAGTTCTTTGAGAATTTTCTAATCCATTTGTTTGCAATTCAATTTTATGTTATTTCAATTATTCTGAAATTCTTCAATTAAATATATATATTATATTAGAAGATAAAAACTTACAAATAATTTTTTAAAAAATTCAACTTTTTAAAAAAAAATTGTTCTTTAGAATTGTTAGTTAAAAGTATGAAAAATTCAAATTTTCAAAGATGTTAATTTAAAACCTTTTCAAAATTCAATTATTTCTAAAAATTCACGCTATAATACTTTTAATATTCAATTATTATCTAGAATTTTAACTACAATTAATTTTTAAATCAATTTTTAAATCCATTTTTATTAGAAAATTCAACAAGAATTCAATTATTTAAATACAAAAGTAAATAATTTATTGTATAATTGAATGTTTCTCAAAATTGAATTCTCATAAAGAATTTTATCACCAAATTTTTAAATAATTAAATTCTTTTGACGAAATAAATTTTTAATAAAATTTTTAAGAATAATTACATTTTTCGAGGAATTTGATTAAAATTATATTAAAAATAATTGAATATTTTCCGAAAAGAATTTTATTATTTATAAAAATAATTGAATTTCTCTAAAAAATGTTATTATTTATATTTAATAATTGAATTATTGCATAAATAATTAAATTCCTGTGGAATTTTTATTATTTATAATTAAATGTTTAGGTTGCATTTTATTAAAATTTTTTTTAAATAATTAAAGTCTTTTGAAAAACTTTATTAAAATAGTAGATTTTGAAAATTATTGAATTGAGGAAAATTTTTAAAAATAATTGAAATTTTGCCGAGATTTTTAACAAAATTTTTGAACAGAATTGAATTTTGGAGAAGAATTTCATTATTTGATGATTGAAATTATGAAGAGAATTTAAAAATTTTTTGAACATAATTAAATTTAACTAATTTTAGAATTTTGAATTTAAATTTTTCAAAAAAATTAATTCTGCAGAATTAAAGTATGAAAAATTCAGTTTTTCAAATACAATTTGAATTTGAAATCTTTTCAAAATTCAATTATTTCTAAAATTGCTATTACCTGTAACTTCTTCAAAACTTCAATGATTTTTTTTAGAGTTTTTAACTAAAATTATTTTCTAAATGATTTATTTTTAATAATTAATTTAATATGTATTAAAAAATTCAATGAATTTTAAATGAATTGGAATTAAAATTTCTGAAAAAAATTAATTCTTTAAAATTTCTAATTAAATTCATTCAAAATTCAAATTTCCTAAAATTTCAAATTGTAACCTTTTGAAATTTATTTATTTATGAAATTATTGTTAATGCAACTCATAAAATTCAATTATTTAAAAAAAATTTAAGTAAAATTATTAATTAAATAATGTATAAGTAATAATTTTATGATAGTTCTTCAAGAATTAAAATAATTTGATAAAAATGTAAAATGTTTATTATAAAAGTATGTGATAATTGATATAAATAATCAATTTGAATTTATTTATTTGAAATTTATTTGAATCAAATAAATTTTGTGCTTTAGTGCAGTTATGAATGTTTTCTTGTATTGCATCACCATCACTTGTAATTAAATATTTAATTCAAACAATTAAAATTAATGCTGAAAGAAATAACTGGAAATAACCGTTGAGAATGTCACGCGTGTCTTTGTTTTTTTCATACGAATTAAAATAAAGTTGAAAAAAATCTGTAAATATTGTTGTTTTGATAGATATATTTGTGTTCTAGTTTTAGAATAGTTTTATTTATATATACATATATCAAGATGATTAAATGCATTTGTCTACAGATTTGTTTACAATGCAAAAAATAAGCGACCAACATAAACAAATCTTTTAACTAATAGACAAATCCTCAATGCATATAATTTGAAATTAATATCATCAGAAAAACAGTTTAGTTTAAAATTTAAATATTTGCTTTTTGTTAAAACCGAGGTTAAAACAAATAAAGACCCTTAGGCCTTTTATTAAAATATGAATATTATTAATTATAATTATTAATGTGAAAACATTAATATTAATTTATACTTCATTCTGATTATAATTACAAAATATGCAGTAAAAATATTTTACTAGATTAAAAAATAATTTTCTATGTATTAATTAATTTAAAAGAATATCATTCGATTCATTAAAAATAAATTTTCATTTTATTCAAGAACAGATGAATAATGTTGCTTTGCAGCAAAAGAATTTTATATTTAAAGAACATTATGCAATGTGACTAATATATAAAACTAATCTCTATACGTATACATCCCTTCTGATTTGTATAATTCTCTATTCACGTAATTCTTTATTGTTTTAATCACGAATCGTTTTTGTTTGTCACATATAATAATCGACGAATTCCTTTGACGTTCGATTGTTCGTTCTTCCTCATAAAAACAAAAACATTCTTTAACGGTTTTTGTTTTTTTCTTACTTGTGGCAGCAGTACGAAAATCTTTATATTAGGTATATTAATGCATAGAAAATTATTTTTTACTATAGTAAACATACTGTTTTCTAAATTTGAATTAGTTAAAAATAATTATTTTGATAGTGGAAAATCAGTCACTGATTCAAATATAATATTTAAATAAATTAAACAAAAATTATCCAATTAATAGAAATTTTGTGAAATTTAACTGAAAAAAAATTAAATTTGTTAAAGAATTTGATTAAAAACTTTTTAACAAATCGAATTTTCAAAGTATGTTAATTTAATAATTGATAAATAATTGAATTTTATAAAGAGTCACATTCTAATGTATTCATGTTTCTTAGTGCGATAATTAATAATTAAAATTTTTATTAGTTATAATTTAAAAAAACATACACTTAAAATTTTGTAATAAAATTAAATTTTCGCAAAGTTTTTATGAAAATTCTGAAAAATAAGATTTTTGAAATTTTTCAATTCTATTGTTTCAAGATAATTAAATTTTTATAAACAAATAATTGAAATTTTTTTAAATAATTGAAATTTCTTTACATTCTATTAAAAATAATTAAATTCTTTTAAAGAATTTTATTAAAATTTTTCGAAAATAATCAAGGGAAGTTTGTCACCGTAATTGTAATTTTAGTTTTAAAATATAAAATCCCTCTTAAAGTTTTAAATCAATTTTTTGCTTCTAAAAGTTATATTATTATTCTCATAAAAAATTTTATCAACAAATTTTTAAATAATTAAATTCTTTAGGCGATTTTTAATAAAATTTTTAAGAATAATTCCATTTTTCGAGGAACTTGATTAAAATTGCATTAAAAATAATTGAAATTCTGCAATGAGTTTTATTATTTATGGAAATAATTGAATGTTTGCATAGAATTTTATTCAATTTTTTTTTAATAATGGATTTCTTTTGTAAAATTTTATTAAAATAGTAGATATTGAAAATCATTGAATTTGAGAAAACTTTTGAAAATAATTGAAATTTTGTCAAGATTTTGATTTAAATTTTGGAAAATAATTGAATTTCAGAGAAGAATTTTATTATTTATAAAGATAATTGAAATTTTGAAGAAATTAGAAAAAGAAATTGAAAATAATTGAATTTCTGCGAAGAATTTTATTACTTTTGAAAATAATAAATTTTTAATTAAAATTATTAAAAAAAAATTATTTTCAAAGAATTTAAAGAAACTAGTCAAAAGAATTTAATTATTCATAAAAACTCGAATTAAACTTTTTGAAACTATTTGTAGATTTATTTATGTTCGAAGTCGCAAATAAATTTAAATTTGATGAGAAAAAAAACCGTGAAAGATTAGGACAAAGCCGGGAAAAAAACTGAAATTTTGTTAAACGAAAATAGTAGATACCTAACGAGTTTAGCAAACCTCAGATATGAAAACCTTGACGCGAAAAATTAGTGCTTTTTATTTCTTTGCGCTCTTGGACATGAATCAAGAAAACTGCAATTATTTTTCAGTACACAGAACTTTTAAAAATTTGTATAATTTTATTTGTGGAATATAAAACAATTTTTAATTGATGATAAGGAAGAAATGAAAAAGTTAGAACTTTTACTACTTTTAAGAGCAAAACGAATTATTAAATGATATGGGGGTAGATTAACAACGTCTTAAATGAAATGATTAAAAATTTCTCTAAAATTTGTAGATCTACCGGAGGAAACTTTTTTCCCCTACATTTCCGGAGTAAATTTTATTGTTTTCGAAATGAATTTTCATAGATTTTCTAAGGATATCAAATTGAGTCAATTCGTTTTTTGTCTCAATTTGATATCCCTAGAAAAGCTGTGTTTGTAGATGTAAAATCTACTTCGAACTTAGAGAAATCAGTGAAATTTGCAAAAAGTGAAGAAAAATTGAAAACATTTTAGATTTTTAGTTTGTAAAGATAGTAAAAATTGATGTAAATGTTTGTTCGTGAAATAATAACTTAAATCGAGTGGGTAAAATAGAAAAAAAGGCGCGCTTTTTAACATACCGGTTAAATTGAATGTTTGTTTATAAGGTAGTAGTGGAAAAAATTGTTACATGTTTCGCATGTATGAACTTGAGAAATAATTTGCGATTTCTTTTACCTTGATTTATTTAACGACTCTTGCTTTGGAGGTGATGTGTATATGCACTTAAAGTATCTCACTTTTTTTTAGACGCTTAGCACACCTAGAATTTTGTACAATGAATGAACGAACTTTGAGTGATGAAATACCGTTCAAAGTCTATTGTCTATAAAAAATGAAAATCACAGTTTACAAGTAGTATACCGGTAAATTGATTACGGATATTCATCAAACACTGAGCGGGCAACGACTGTCGCCTTATCTTTGAGAGAGAGTGAAAAAGCAGCGTGGTTTCCGTGTGTGACTATAGAGTTGTGCAAAGTTCAATCGATCTGAATTCCGTCACATATCACACCACTTTATTCTAGTGACAGTGACGTGACATTCGTTGGACTCTTATTGGCTCAAAGCAAGAGGCAAGCAAAAGGCTTGCACCTGTTTTTAGAATTGTACTCCATCTTACGCCTACGCTTTTATAAGAAACAACTGATAATGCAGGTTTCCTGGCTAATTTCTGGTTCTTGATGCTTACCAGGCATTGGCAAACATTTCTATAATTCTGGTAGTAGTACCATACCTTGGTAAGGCTCTCTGCTATTGTGCAATGGTGGTAGGATGATTGCTACTATTTAGGCGCAGAAATATTTCTTGAATTTACTAGGTTTACTAGGTTTTTTTAGGGTTTGCAGGGTTCGAGCTAGGTCCGTAAATCCCGTAAAGGTCCGGAAATTCGTTTCAAGTCCGTAAAAGTAATTTTTTTTAAAAAAAAAGGTCCGTAAAGTCCGTAATTTGATTAAAAAAGGACGAAAAGTTTGTAAATTATACGATATAATTTGGAGAATTTTAGAAAAATTACAAATGATTGCAGAAATTCAATTATTTTTAAAAGTAATAAAATTCTTCGCAGAAATTCATGCAATTGTGTTCAAAATTTTTTTTAAATTCTCGTCAAAATTTCAATTATTTTTATAAATAATAAAATTCTTCTTTGAAATTAAATTATTTTCCAAAATTTTAATCAAATTCTTGGCAAAATTTCAATTATTTTCAAAAATGTTCCTCAATTCATAATGATTCTCAATGTCTACTAATTTAATAAAATTTTCTAAAAGAATTTAATTATTAACAAAAATTAGAATAAAATTCTACGCAAACATTCAATTATTTTCATAAATAATAAAATTTTTACAGGGAGAATAAAATTCTTTTAGGAATTCAATTATTTTCATAAATAATAAAACTCGTTACAGAATTTCAATTATTTTTAATGCAATTATTTAAATACAAAAATTAAAACTGCCCTTAAAATTGACCTAAATTTTGAGGGTAGAGGGAATTGTTTGTCGCAATTTTTGACCTGTAGGTTAAAACTGCCCTTAAATTTGACCTAAATTTTGAGGGCAGAGCGATAAGTTTATCAATTTTTGACTTTTAAGTCAAAACTACCCTTAAAATTGACTTAAATTTTGAGGGCATATCGGTTAGTTTGTCAATTTTTTACCAGTAGGTTAAATCTGCCCTTAAAATTGACATAAATTTTGAAGGCTAAGGGATTAGTTTGTCAATTTTTGACCTGTAGGTTAAAACTGCTCTTAAAATTGACCTGAATTTAGGTCAAATGTAACTTGTTTCTGACTATGGGCCTACCTTAACAGTGGGCCAACCTTGACTATGTTCCCTCTACTATAAGGAGCCCTTAGAAATCCTAACTCTGCGGCGGCGGCAAAATGTTTTTATATAATAGGGATATATATATATATTTAAAAAATAAAATTTTATTATACAGTAATATAATCCTGAATAAAAAGAAGTATGATTATTAATTCGTCTTCATGTAAGGAATAAGATTTTATTGAATAAAGTACAGGATTATACTGAATCAAAAAATTAGATTTATTTTTCATATAAACAAATCAGAATAAGATTTTATTATACAGTAACCTAAAGTAATGCTCTTTTTATTATTAAACAATTTCTTACTTAATATATTCATCTTTAAGTTTTCATCAATTAGCAATTTATCGTTGAACAAAGCATTTGTGTAATTCAGTTTACCATGTAATTCGAGACTCTTCTTTAATAGGTATTCAGCATTGTGTTTGATCGATTCCATGCATGATTTAATTATTATTATTATTACTTTATTATATTATTAATTGAATAAATAAATATAAATAAATAAATGAATAATACTTAAATAAATACAATGACATAAAACTGATTAAATACTTTTATTGTTATTAAAATAAGATGTTTTCTAAAATATCTCACTAAAATCTAAGATGCTTTATAGGTTTTAGCAGTGATAAAGATATTTTTTCCATCTTAGAAAAGTAAGTTACTTCGGCAAGTTTTTAAAAGTAACTTTAATTATGTTTCTGGCGCAATAAGATGTTTAGCGATAAGTTAGTTGTGAATTATAAGATTAAAAGAATATAAGTTACTAAAAACTAAGATGCATAAAGTGTTTTACATATTAGCCAATAGTTAACCTCAAAACTTTTTCCACAAAAAATATGCTGAAAATGTGTACGAAGATACTTTTAACATCTTAAATTAAGATATTTCAAATAACTAAAAAGTGTCTTCCAAAACATTTTAGAAATGATTACCAAAACATCTTAAATTAAGATACTTTTGTTTGCAATGATATTGTGCCATAATGAGGCTAAGTAGTCTCGAATGTCATCAAAATACTGATTCACTCCGCTTTTCCTAAAACTCTTATCACATTTCTCTCGCTACTCTTCATAATCGCTGATACTTACACAGGCATACACACAATAGGAAGATCTTACATTTTTGAGAATTTGTTCAAAAATAAAATTAGTATCTTTAAGTTATGTTAAGATTTACAATAAATATTCATAATACATATTTACAATATACGTTTTACATTTGGGCCTCAAAAATATCCATGGTAACCCAGAAATTACACTCTCTTCCTGAGTCAAAATTTCTGAATTGGGACACCTAAAACAAACTTTTTAAATTTGCATTATGTCTGTACATAATATGATGCAGTTATAATGCAAATTCAAAAAGTTTGTAGAATGTGAACGTCACGAATCAATGACAAGTAAATGAAGAAGTGACATTCAGTTACGTTCTGTACGTTCCAACTTTCCTCAATATGGATAGACCCAATAAATATTAAATAGTTAAGCAAAGTTTGTAATAGAGTGTCCTGCGAATAATATGTTTTAATTTACGAGTCATCGACTTGAAGATATATTAATAGAAGCAAACTTGTAAACTTATATTATTATTGAAAAGTGGAAAAATCGTAAACAAGATATTTTGGTGCAAACTTTTCCTTATTCATCACATACTCTGAATTATTTTCTTCCCAAAGATTCTCAACAACAAACATTGATTTTCCATAAACTGGAGAAACTGAAAAAAAATTATTTTTGCATCTTTAATAATGAGAACATTAGTAAAAAAATTTATTTTATTAAAAACGTATAACTTACTTGTCATTAATGAAGAGTTTATAGATGATAAATAATTTTCTAGCGGTACAGTTCCTATCACAATGGGAGTAGAAATTTTCAAATTTCTGCTAAGCCTAAAATTAACCAGAAAAAAATAATGTAATAAGTAAAGGTTTTTTATTGCAAAACTACATACGTAACAGACGCTTTTCGCACGAAAATTGAAATAATAAATTGTTGAAGCTGTTTCATTGAATGTCCAATTAGAATATTTTCACGATAGGAATTTTCTAACTTTGCAATATATGAAGATTATATTCATGATAATGTTATGTCTCAGAACGAAACTAAACATAACCCAAATTATATATGTTACGTACAAAGTACATAACAGCTATTTCTTTATTAATATCTTATTATCGCTACAGAAGTTTAGACAGAAATTTGTCGAATGCGTATTCTTTTCATATTACATTATATTGCATATATAAATTGCTCACAAATTTATAACCAATATTAATGCTCTATTCTTGTTTTAAAATTTATACAGTACACATATTTTATAATTTAAAAAGCAAAATATAATTCCATTTGAGAAATAATTAAATGTATGGCATCCACTGACTCCGCTGACCATGGATTCCTTATGTTACGGTCACATATACAAGAGTTACCGTGAGATCTAAAACGTCAGCAAAAATGAAACGTCCAATGGGCCCACGAGTTTTCCCTACTCCTACTCCTAAATTTTTGTTTTCCCCACCTTGACAAAGAAGGTAAGGGTTAGAGGCTTGTCGCGAAATTTCAATTATTGCAGTACGACTTCTTGCTTCTTGAAGACACCTCTCCTGGGTCTAACCTGGCAAGTGTTTTGGGACAGAGAAAATTCGCGATTCGCCCGTCCGCGACCCGGAACCTGAATTTCTCGTTGAAATTTAGGGCAGACGTTTGGTAAAAAGTGGATCCGCAGTGAGTTTTTACACTATTGTGTGAGACGGCCGGTTGCATAGATATTGCCCGCGTCCACTCGCCTACAGGTGCAATTTCACAACTTAAAGAAAATTGCGCGAATCTGACGTCGCGATTTTCTGTAAGAATAAAAAGAAAAGAATTTTTGCCTGACGGAGGTTTTGTGATTCGAAAGAGGAACAGCTCCGCCGGTAGTTTGTAAGTAAATAAGTATTGTTTCAATTTACATATTCTAACACACACACATTTTCTATTTGTGACACACTATAACCATTCTGTATTCAAAAGGTATTTGCTATTTAAAAATAAATCATGTATTCATAAAAATCAATTTCTTTACTTACCTAACTAAAACTAAAATTCAAATCATTTTAAAAATAGTGCATTTAACGAATCAGTAGGCAACTTTTAAAAGTAGGATAACGTCCCCACAAAATTAAACAGAATAATTAAACATTCTGGCAGCTTGGTGCCTCCCTAAATCAAGATAAAGGGCCATCTCAAAAGCCTAATTAATAAATTTATTTCTGGTTTGTAACAATATATATTTAAATTGTCCGGCATCGGTGATTCAAACCTGATTTATTTATAGAGCGGAAGACTTTGATATTAAGGGACAGGTTTGAAGAAAGAGTAACTGTTAAATTTAAATTAAATTATGAAAGTTTTTATTTGAATCTTTTATAAATTACAATTCGAATCAGAGAGAAAGAGTAGATCCAGACGACTTCAGGGATACTGAAAAGAAACCTCCTACAGTGTGAATTATTTTTGAAACATCCAAAGTGAAAAATCGATGTAAAGTAGATAAAACACCCATCAGCCTCGGAGTGACCAAGTTATTTATTTGACGTTGATGTCGAAAAAATGCAGTCCTTAGAAAAATAGGAATGTGCCTCATAGTAGAAATTATCTCTTTGAATGAATTTGAGTAGGACGAGACTCGAAGAAGGCACTTGGTACTTCAAGAGGTTTTCTGGACTGGAGTCGAAGAACAAACTCGATGACAGTACACAATTAGTTAACTTGTTCGCGGTTGCTGGACTGACACGAAGAACGCTAGTTCTACCTAAAATTGCGACAGGCTTATTTTAATGTGTTACATTTAAAAAATAAATTTCCGATCGCTTAAATATTCAAATCGGACATTCTAAGAAACGGCTCCACCAATTATTTTAATTTTTTGAAATAGCTTCTATTTACGTATACAGTTTTGCAGTAAAAAAGAAATTTTACCAGTCTAACAATAAATCTCGGCCAACGAATTGATAGGTTTTTCTTTTCTAATATTTTAAGACTTACATTCTGTCGACTTCAGCTTCAAGTTCAATTGCATATTCAATTGAAATTATGCTGCAGTTCATGCCAATATTTGATGGAGGAGTGGGAGGAATGTAAAAGTTATGAATAAATTGAAATACATCTTCCTCATATTTATTTTTTTTAGTGTCAATAATGGACATATTAACTTTCTTTTTCATTGGATAGGAAGAACTTCCTGATTGTAAGTATGTTCCATACTAAAATCAAAATAATTTTTCTGTATTATAGTTGGTTTTAAATATTCGGATATGAATATTTGCATAATCTTCATAATAAAAATATTGGGCAGCGGTCCACAAAGAATATCTCTGTGCCTTTTGGGAATTTATTTAAAAAATTTTTAATTGACACTATAAATACCAAATATTTACCATTTCTAGTTTTAGTTTTATATGATTAACTTCCACGCCAGATTGATTATCTACATTGACCGTTATAGGAATTATTTGACCTGGAACATATCCTCGAAATGGTAACGATAGAGTTACAATCAATGGAGGTGAACTTGAAAAAATTCCAAAGGTTTTTGTTTCTTCTATGAATACTTGACCCTTGAAAATGTTTCATATTGACAGTTTATATTTGCATGTTGAATAAGTATTAATAGATTGATCTCAAGTCACAAAAGAGATATAAAATTATGTAAAAGTTAAATATTTTGTATGAACCAATTATTTATACTTACTCTCGCAATAGGATCAGTATTAAGATCATATTCAGTTACAACCGTAAAAGGAGCTTCTGTCTCATTATCAAATTTCCATGGGCGATCGATAATAGCTTTAACAATATATCGAACATGTGCTTCATTATTTACTAATTTTAATTCATAACTCGTTGGTAAATTTGTAGGCAAGACATATTCGAATAAAAATATGTGTTCACCTTCAGTTAATTCCATTTCATCTAAAAAGAATAAATTTATTTTAAAATCATCAATTAAAATACTAATATTATATTAGGTACTGTATTATATTATTTAATAATATTATTTATATTATTAATAATCTTTAAGTAGGATATTTGACATCTTCTAAGAATTTATTTATACATATTGTCACCTTTAGTCATTTTAACCTCTAATTGACCTAAATGTTTCACAATAGAACCGTCATGTAATTGCAACACAGTGTCGGTTTTACCCAATTTAAATCTGAAAAAATTTTCGGGACATATTGATTTTTGAACAATCGACCGATTTACATCGGAGTGAGTCGATTTCTGCATGGAACTTAATGTCATTAACAAAAAAGTCAGTTTAAAGGAATCTAATTTGGGATAAGGATAAGTTAATGAGCCTACTAATGTTTTGAGAGAATAATTTATTTAAAAATCAACGCTTCCAGTAGTTCCCGTATAGAAACCTGTAAGTGTCTTGTCCGATGAGTGTTACTAAAAACCCCTCCGTGCGCTCCAGTTTCGTAACATTATTTGCACGATTGTATAAAAATTAAAAAAAAACCAAAGAACAACTAGAGACTTCTACATTCTAAATGTCAGTGTTAATATCCAATTTATCACAAATATATTCTAAATCAACATTTTTAACAAAAATCTTCCGACAATAGAAGTAAGAAACAGAGAGTAGCAAGTAAGCAATATGAGTGGATTTTTAAAAGTATTTAGATTAGATTTACATACGTAAAAGACTCCTACTATGAATTGAGTACGAAACAATTGTACACAAAGTTAAGAAAATTAGGTTTACCTGATTGTCCTCCAACAACGTAAAACTTCGATGAAAAGTATGTTTCATGGCCTCGAATTTGTTTACTTCCATTACCCGAAGGTTGAATCCAACGAGTAAAAGCTTTTCCGCTTATTTTTACCTTCATACCTTAACAAATCAAAAAATGCATAAATAATCTACTATCGTTTTCTAGGCGAAAGTTTAATTTTTTTCATTATCACATGTACATTTAAGTATTTAAACGATTTTTAACGTCATAGATATGAATAAATATAATTAACCACTAATAAATTACAAGACAATTTTAATCCATTTTGATTCATTTGTATTTCTAGTAAAGTAATTAATTACTTATATTTTGTTCTATAAGTATACAGTCAGGTTTCCAAACTGTAACATTTGAAACTGCAACAAACTTTGAAATGTAACAACTAGTTACACCCACATGCCTTAGAAATATTAAAAAGTGGAAAAACAATCAACGTAAAGTTCTACAGACCCCCTAAAAATTCACAGAAAAGTTATAAAGTCAAAGTCAGGGTAAGAAATTCCGAAAAAATATAATTATTTTTTTGTCTTCATAACATGATATCTCGCTTCCTACACGGAAAAAAAAGTTCACGAATCTCTCGTGAACTAGTATATCACTTTTGGATGGGACTCAAAATTTCCATTCACTTTTGATTAGAAATGGCGAACGTCAACGAAAAACTGAAACAAAGTTAATGAATTTTTGATGAACTGTGTTAAGGATGAGTAGTTCGTCAAAAGTAGAGGTACAAGTTCACGAAAAAATCGTAATGCGCATCAAATATGGCTGATCAAGCATTCATCATTCAGTCGGTGTCATCGGTGTTTACATTCAGGAAAATTCTTTGATGAAAGTTATTATTTAGAATCAGTGTTTTTTATTACTTAGTGAATATTTTTGTTTGCTAATTTTCTTTGTGAAACAAATAATTCATAAAATGAATTAAAAGTTTCGATAAGGGACTTTTTCTACTTTGCACGGTCCTGAGTTTTACAGCAGACAAAGCTAATCGTTTCGTTTGTCGAAGGACAGTGTATCCAGATTTAGCCGTGGCGGTTAGTTGTTAGAACGAGTGTTTTAGGGTATAGGTACTAGGTTCGAATCCCGTGAAGCGAATTTTCAAGAATTTTGTGTCCCATCCAAAAGTGATATACTAGTTCACGAGAGATTCGTGAACTTTTTTTCCGTGTATTTATGCAATACAACTTAAAATAGTGACATTTCATTTGAAATTTAATAAGCTTTCCAATGCAATTTAAAAAAAGCATTTAGCTTCATTTTTAACGGAGTTATCACTCTTTCTGTGCGGGTGTGTTTTTTAATAGCTCGAGATGTTAGCGTTCGCACAATTTTCGTCGGTAGTGTATGTTGCTAAGGAAATGATACTTTAAAAATAAAAATTTGACCTTAAAAAATTAATTGATTTTTATTCATTTCTGTTTGTAAAATGTTGCTATAGAAACAATATTCTTTAAATAAAAATTGACCTTCACATGTATATTAGTTCTCATTTCTTTCCCTTTTTAAGGAATGTTGTTTTTTAAAAAATATTTTAACGTTTAGAAGCCATCAGAATACGTCATCGTGGTAAGATAATTAGTTATACTAGAGGATGTATTCAAATCACAATTGAAAATAACATTATTACAATTTTGTACCTAGGTATAAATACTGCCTTTAAAATTTGTGCCAAATGAGACATTTAGTGGTCTATAAACCACACCAATTATAACATTATTAAAATGTGAATGTATCTTTTGAAATAAAAATTCTGTAGCCGGGAATGATCCTCCATAACTCATAGATACTATTTTAAATAGTTTTAATTTCTAAGACCTGATCTTTCTTAATTCGTACTCTCTGTACGATTATAATAAACGTTCAATTTTCTTTTCATTTCTTATTGTAATAATTAGTAATTCTTTATTCTTAAATTTTAATCAATTTTAAATATCCCGCCTGAAATCTGATTTGCCGAATGCGAAAAATGAGGTGTGAACGGTCAAATGTTTCTGCATGCATGCATCATGCAGATGCATTAGATCGTGTGACTGTACCCTAAAATTTATGTACAAAAGTAAAAAAGCCTTAAGACGCTCTCACAGCTCTGCATGAATGCCCATGCATGCATAGTTGTCATGGTAACACATGAGAGTAAATAAGTCAGAAAATTCAAATTTCATGTTTTTTCTCTCTTATTCTAATGCAGGCAGTTGCTATGGCAACACATGCTGAAATTAACGCAACGCAGTCATTCGCAGACAAACGCAGTGTTTTGGGAACCTATTGGAGAAAGGCCTTTGAAGACGACCATTCTGGCAGAAGTACATTTTGGCGCAATATAGTTGTGAACAGGCCTTTACATATCATGACAAAAAACATAACCAACAAATTTATATCTCTTTCTCGTTGGACCACGCTGTGAGCGAGTACTGTTGAATGTTAATGTTGTTGTAAAATATTTATATGTAGAAATTACCGTTGCTAAAATAGTAAAAAATTAAAGTTACCGTTGATTCAGAAAGTTCAAATTGAGGCTCCCAATTCAAGAACCGGTCGGACGCTCGGACGACACGCGCAACTGCCAGTCAGTGAGCAGTGAGCGCCTCTGGGCCACTCACTGCTACCCGACTGGTACTAGCGCGTGTCTTCCGAGCGTCCGACCGGTTCTTGAATTGGGAGCCTCAATTACCGTTGTTGAAAAAAGTTGAATATTAAAGTTACTGTTGCTGAAAAAAATTCAAAATTACCGTTGCTGAAAAAAGTTAAAAGTCGCTGTCGCTTAAAAAAGTAAAGTTGCCGTTGCTGGAAAAGGTAAGGAAGTAACTTAATTAGATTAATTAATTAATTAATTTCACGAAAAAAAGTAACAATTCTTAAAGAAAAGAAAAATTTATATAAATGGAGAAAAAAATAATTTCGAAGGAACATTAGGGTTATAATTTTCTTATATTACAAAAAAACAGATTCGCCTATCTAAAATTCCGTAAAATTAACTTTGGCTCCAAACTGAAGCAACATTTTCACAATCTGTTGAAAACCATTTCTTGCTGTAATGTGCAATAAAAGCACTCACTTAAATATACATAAATTAATTTAACAATTTTATCAAATTTTATACATCCTGTTTATAAATTAAAACATTCTTTTTTTAATTTCATCAATGTTTTATTTCTTTCTTTTTGAAAATAGGACATAGTTCGATTCACGTCCAACGTTGTAACCTTACAAATTTTTGTAAAATTACAACGTAAAACACGTCACTTTATCTTAAATTGTTTAGTTTCTTCCTACGTTCAACATTGTCAGTTTACAGATATTCTGTAGCCCTACAATTAATTAGTAAATTCTCAAAAAATCAAATTTTACAGTGCACTGTAAAAAAGATTTTTTGAAAATTTACTAATTAATTGCAAGGTTACAAGAAAAAAAATCCTTTTTTACAGTGCACTGTTTTATTTTTTTCATTTATTTCAGAGAAGATGAGCGATTCAGATTCAGGGATGGATGACAACGACTTTCTGCCGGAACTACAAAGATTCGTTCCGTTTGTATACGAACCCATGGCTCAAGTTAATGACGAAGTATATCATCCTCCTGATGGTCAGCGCAGTGCTAACATAGACAATCCTTGTCCGGAGGTCCAATTTGCCATCGAAGATAAACCATCATCTTCTTCTACTAGAACTTCAAAATTTGATTCGGAAAATATTAAAATAATTAAAGAAAATGTTGATAAAGGTGTACCTGTTTTTGCAGGTACACTTAAATATTCCGCCCTTGTTCATAGACTTATGCTTCAATTGTAAACAATACGGGCATTTCCATAATTTTTGTACAAATCCCTTCTTTTTTGTTAAGATGTGCTACAGATGTGGTAAGAAGGGACATATTTCTATCACATGTACGCAGAAATTCGAAAGAATTTCCAAATTACCAAGTTACCGTCGTACAAAAACTGCTGTAAATAGTAAGGTACAAGAAATTGCTGAAAGAATGTTTCCTCATTATGAGGACAATGAAACAAATTCTGATGATGGTTATAACGAAGAACAGGATTGTAAAGGTCGCAATTTAAACAGTTCGGACATGCTATATCTCCAAGATAAAAAGGTTTATACGCGAAAGTCTTTAGCAGACGAAAAGAACGATAGGGCCTATGACATAGCTTCAACGAAAATTAAAGAAATCTTGTACAAACATTCCCGATTCACGAAAAAGGCCGCTCCTTCAAAGCGTCTCTTGCGTAAAAATAATAATAAATGTTTTAACTGCGGCCGATACGGGCATAAACGGCAAATGTGTAAACGAAGGCAAGTATAGAAATATTGCTATTCATGCGGACTAAAAAATTCCTCAAGACTAAATTGCATCAACTGCAAATCTCAATACAAATTTATTAAAGATTAAGCATAGAAAGTTACCGTTAAACATTTATTAAAAATACAAGTACGTTATAATTGTTATAATTTAATTTGTTAATTAAATTTTTTAATTTTTCAATAAAATTTTTTAATTTCTTAATTTAATTTGTTATAATTTAATCCTGACATCATATATAAAAAAAAATATCAAATTTATTATTATTATTTTCTGACATTAAAATTAGGGCTGTCCCTTTAAAAGTCTATTCAGGGAGCACATTCAAGTCATTTGCGCCCCTAGAGATAAATGTAGCTCAATAATTGACGGATTCACACTCTCTGTAAACCTGTAGAATTTGTACTAATTATACAGATTTACAAATTCTGACTCTGACTCTGACTCTGACAATTATTGAGCTACATTTATCTCTAGAGGTTGGCAAGACTTCAGAGTGTTCCTCGAACAGATTATCAAAGAGACTGATGAATTTTATTGAGAGGAAAAAATTTTTTTTCTTCATTCTAGCACCAGACTCAGGAGATTGAAGAAAATTGACAATTGGAAAAATTTTGAATTCGAATTTATTTTCTGGCATTAAAATTAGGGCTGTCCCTTTAAAAGTCTATTCAGGGAGCACATTCAAGTCATTTGCGCCCCTAGAAATAAATGTAGCTCAATAATTGACGGAGTCACACTCTCTGGAAACCTGTAGAATTTGTACTAATTATACAGATTTACAGATTCTGACTCT